GAAACTAAGCAGTCACGTGACAATCTACTATTCTGAATATTAAAGTTATCTTCCCCCAACTTTCATGGTCAGCTTTTTCGATACTTCTGATGATATGCAGAAATGGTCCCCAAAAGAGGTAGAGAAACCCCGTTTAAAGGCTTGCATCAGCACTAATCTCATTGTGTTCTTAATCATAGGTCTTTGTCAGTATTACACCAATTCAACCAGTTGGCTTTAGTGTTTGGAATCTTTGGGTAACAGAGTTGGGTCTTAGGTTCCACAAAAAAAAAGAAAACCCTTTTGTCATTTAATACAGTACTTCACAACCTTCTCTACACAGCAGAACCATCCAAGAAGATTCATACAAATGCTGTTTTCTAGGACATGACTTCATAGAGTATAATTCACTGGCTCTGTAGATAAGGCTTAGGAATCTGAATTTATAGCACATTTTTAAGAGTTTCTGATACTGGGAGATCTAGGACACTCTTTGCAAAAACAGACCTAGCATCTCACACAATAAATTGAAAAAAATATTTGCAGATAATGAATTCACATACACATGGCCAAATATCTTATATCTGTTTATATATGACTTATAAATATCAATATTTTTTCTTTATTGATTTTAGAGAGAGAGGAAGGGAGAGGGAGAGAGAGATAGAAACATCAATGAGAGAGAACATCCATTGGCCATCTCCTGCATGCCCCCCACTGGGGATTTAGCCCACAACCTGGGCATGTGCCCTGACCAGGAATCAAACCAGTGACCTCTTGTTGCATGGGCTGACACTCAACCACTGAGCCACAATGGCAAGACAACATCTAATATTATTTTTTAAATCCTTCTATCTGTACATGAGGATTTGGTTAGCAGATGTTCTTACTAATCTCATACTTTTTAACCATGGTGATATGACACAATGGTGAGTTACAATTAGGTTTTAGGTGTATATAAAACATACCAGATAGAGTGCTGTACAAGAGAAGATCTTTGGTAGGGAAAATGCCTGTTCCTGTGGGTCAGAATTTATCAAAACTCGTTTTTTTAAAGAGTAAATTGTTGAATAGTGATTAAAGCAATGAGCATTTATAAAAATTAGTTGTTAATGACATTTAAAGTAAGTTAGTTACTTTTAACAAATAAGTTGGAGTTATTTGAGGTTATCCACATAATAATGACATGCCCTTTGACTTTTACTCAATGGAAGAGGAAAGAGTTGAAACATAGGGCTTTAAGAATGGCATGACATATTCTGAGGGCCCTGGCCAGACATTGTTCTTACCATTAGCAGCCATGTAATGATGAATTGTTGTATCAATTTATGTCCATAGAAATGTAATTTTTTGACTTCATAAAACTCGGTGTCAAGTACAAATGGGAGTCCTGTACATCAATTTCCCTGATTATCTTAACTTTTAGTAACGTGGAGAAAAATACGAAAGGCAGCACAGAAGTTGCAGGCCTTCTGAAACTGCCCAGGTTCACCATTTACAAAGCAATACCGGAGACAGAATAACAAAACTGTGGTTTTGAAATTCACACAGAAAGGTGTCACCGGCTCTGATACTGACATAGAGCACATGGTGATCAGATACAATGGAATCATTTTCTTCTTCCACAGAAGGGAGGAAAATATGAAAGCATTTGGTTTGCAGCCTCCTTAAGTAATCAATAAGACAATAGATTTTCCTTTTCCCACTTTCAGCCTGACAGCCTTGCTTTGTTTCACCTCTAACCAACCAGTTTGGGAAACAGAATACTTTTGCCTTACCAAATCTACAGCTTTAACGAAACCATGGGCCAATTTCGCAAACACTGAAGTAGGGAAGATTGGGATTGTCTCACTGACCCGCATCCTCGGGACCCAGCGCCCGCCCCGCCAGCGTTACCACCAGGTCCCTGGAGTGGCTCCTGTATGTGAGCTCAGATCTGCAGAGCTGTCCTGACCGTCTTTAAATTATGAGTCATATTTTTACTCTCTCAACCCTCCCCCACTCCTGCTCCTTAGAAGACAACTGGAGAAGTGAAAAAAATAAAAAACAAATAAACAAATCTCTTTGATCTCTGGAAGCCCGGATAAAGAATATTTCAACGGGGGGAAAAAAAAATAGAAGATTTGAGGTAATTAACAAGGTTGTAAATTTATGAGGAATGTGGGAGGGGGAAAAAAAGTCTTTTTATTATTGTCTACATTCATAGACTCGAAGTCTTCATTTCCCTAGTAGAGCTTTAACTTAATTATAAAACAAAATCTATAGCCGCAGCCAGGCCTAGAGGTAGAGCTTGTGCAACTAATCAGCTTTAATTCCCTGGGTTCGATTTAATTACAAAACAACATTTGGTGAAGCTGCGAACACTTACTAGATGACCGACCACACGGTAATAACGCTGGAGTGCTATTTACAGGTCTCCAGGCTTTTGCTCTGATTCTATCAGCTCAATTACAGTTCAATTATATATAAATTTTAACAGCCTCTAGGATGTACAACAACAGATCATTTTTTTTTTAATTTTATACATCCCTGTAGTTGAGCCAGTTAAAATACGGAGCAGCACTACAACTCATTAACGTCAGGAAGTAAATGTAATGATGAAAGAGATGTCCTGATAGAGGACAATGATAACGAATGGAAGATCCGTGGCACACATCTGACCATTTTTAATTTGTTCAGTCTGTGACAGAGACAACGCGAAACCGGCTTCTGCATACTGTGAGTTATCAATTTGCCTCTTAGGTTACAACACACATTACTTTTCAGTGTAACCAGGCAGAGCTAACTCATTCCTCTGCTTATTCTTTCGTATCCCACGAGACAATTTAGGAGGTGAATATCTGTGTTACAAAATATTCTACCTGACAAAATTAGACTTAACCACTAACATTTTTAAATATATTTTTTTCCTTTTATTGATGTTAGAGAGAGAGGAAGTGAGAAGAAGGGAGAAATAGAAACATCGATGAGAGAGAACACTGACTGGCCGCCTCCTGCATGCCCCCCACTGGGGATTGGGCCCCACCTGGGCATGTGTCCTGACTGGGAATCGAACTGGCGACCTCTTGGTGCATGGGTCAACACTCAATCACTGAGCCACACTGGCCAGACACCACTGACATTTAAAAAATAGCCAGTTCCTCTGATATATTTAAAATATACTCAATTTGCATAGACATTCAGGAAGATCACCACAATAAGTGAGATCTGATTTTATTTTCTCTCTGATAATATTTGGGCAGAAGTTCCACATGCAATTAACTTTTCACCTTAGTGTTTTAAATTTTTATTTTAGCTCACCCAAATACACCAAGTATGTGGGATCCCAGTGCCTCCCTAGGTCTGTAGGAGGGTAAGGAAAATTATTTAAATTGAGTGGAAAAAAAAATCAAGAAATGGTAGTAAGGGAGTTAGTTACCAATGTTGCTAAAATAAATATGACCCTTTCTGTTTTTACAGCAACTCAGAAGATGACCCAGAGAGTGCCATCGGATGCAAGTGAGGGTTTGAAGTGGATATGTACTCGCAACAGAATGTTTCTTTTGCTTTCTTTTTCCTAGATGACAATCTCCTTCTTTTCTTATTCTTTAGGGTAGAACTGGGTAAAAGCTAAAGAGAGAATGTAGCACCGCTAATGATATCCACAGAGAATAAAAGCAGAATACATAGAAGTCACTGTAAACCATCTGGAGCAACGAGCCTTCTTCACCTTCCAGCCTCAGGTGCTGCTCTGGACCTTCCCTGGTGCTGTCCTGCACGACGACCTCGGCCTCTGGCCAAAGAAGACACGGTGCGTTGCAAAGTCGAAAGGCTAATTTCTCAAACAGAGAGTGTCTGTCATTCTCTTACCCCAGAGACTACCCTTCTCTACTGAACAGTGACTGCCTCCCGGGAGGAAGCCGTTCTGCACGCTGGAGGAAAAAGGGATGGAAGGAATTCTGATGGTTACCAGATGTTCAGTGCCCCCGAGAGGGCGCCAGAATGTTTCTGCAAGTGCTGGAAATAGCACAAGCTGTCAAGCCCCGGTCCCTGGGGCACGGTGCTCATGCTGCGCCGTTGTGCAGAGTCATAGGATTTGAGAGTAAGAAGGCACCGCAGAGCTCTGGCCAGGTGGCTCAGTTGGTTGGAGCATCGTCCTGTGTACCAAAAGATTGCAGGTTCGATTCCCAGTCGGGGCACACACCTAGGTTTTGGGCTCCATTCCCGGTATGGGAGGCCCGATAAATGTTTCTCTCTCGCATCGATGTTTCGTTATTGTTGTTTTTCTCTCTCTTCAAGATCAATAAAAGCACACGCTCGAGTGATGATAAGAAAGAAAAGAGGGGACCGCAGAGATGATATTAGCCAGGGGTTTTAAACTGTATCTGGGAACGCTGTCTGTTTTCTAAGCGGACGTGGACTGAGGAATAAGGAGATCTCTGTAAAGCAGTAGCTGTACCCTTGGAAAGAATGTGGAAAGGATATTTTATCAAGGTAATTCCTGAGGTTCAGGAAAAGAATGGTGGGAAATCATCATCCTGGGGGCTCTCCGTCATTCCTGGTGGGGAGACCTCCAGAGCTCAGAAGGGGATTCAGGGGCTCTAAGTTCCGGAATCTAAAAATTAAATTATATCACTAAGATGTACTATCAGGGTGGGAAATAAACGTTTCTCAAATCAAGTCAACCAAGCCTTAGAAACCTGAGGGGCGGCGGTTGGGGAGAACACTTAGAAAAATGTTACCTTTTCTTATTTTAAAATGTGGTAATTTAATACATTATTAGCCTGGCTCACAGTCTCCAAGCCTTACCTGTTTTCAAATGAAAAAATACCCTGTGATTGTTCAAAGAATCTCTCTACTACCACTCTTAGAACGGAAGAGAGGAAGGGAGGAAGGAAAAGCTAAGGAAAGGAAGAAGGAAGAAGCAGCTATTTCTGTGTTTGTAAATGGAACCAATTCTGAAAGAAGATGAGACTTTAACACAGGGTAAAGCACGGGGTTGAACAAACATTCACAAAAGCAGGATAGATCCGTGGTCTCACCATCACTGTCGATGCAGACAACCTCTTGAACTTGAGAGCCGGGACCACACTCTTTCCCGTTATCTGGCTCACAGTCTCCAAGCCTCACCGCTTTCCACTCGTAGCAGGACGGCTCCTCGCAGGGAATGGCCTCCAGTAAGTGCGGGCAGCTCCCAGGGCCCCCAGAGCCTCCAGCGGGCTCACTGGTAATGCGCCGCTTCCTCAGCTTGAAACCTGAGTTATTGGGGAAGGAACATAGGTACTGTGACCTTCATGGGTTGAATACTGTAGAACACTGAATGAAACTCCGAGGGCAAGGTGGACAAGGTCAGCAGGCAAGTCCTATCTGCTTTAATCGCTGGTGTATCCCCAAACTGTAGCTTAATGTGGGCTCATTAATAATTTATTAAATGCATAAATGAATGAATAAACAGAATGGCCAAAGAGGAACTTCTGTTGTTAGCTTACTATAGTAAAAATAAGTCAAGACATGCCATGCATCTCCCATCACCCTCAGGCTGGAGCTGGGGGGTGGAGGGGCAAGAGATTGATTTTGCTTCATTTTGAAAGTTTGTAGTTATAAGATATTCAAAGAAACAATGAAATCTCAAGCTATTCAGAAATATTCATGACCAGACAAAAGTGCTATTACTTTGAATTCTTCAGCGTTATCACATGATTAAATCTGAAAAGGAACCTCTGGTAAGTTGAATATTCCCAGAGAAATTGTTTCTTTGAGACTTAGTTGAATTTAGACTGCCTGAAAATTTGAATGAGGGACATAAACCATCTGGGCTCTAATGAGGAGAATTCAAAGTCCTGCTCTGTGCCTTAATAGCTCCTAAGCGTTGCCCTTCCTGACAACGTATAATAAAATTAATGTCTGTTTATTGCCATGTGAACATATTAGAATCACTAGGACACTGTCTTTCGAAACAAAATAAGAAAATGATTTTAATTACTAGGTCATGTTAAAATTACCCCACCATGCTTACCACATAATAAACCACTGCATTTAGTCTACTCTTCTTGGATATACCCTTTGCATCATACAAGCAATAGCATTTTGTTTTTGCTTTTATCTTCAAAGTAATGAGTTCTGTTTATTGGGCACTAGCTATGGGTCAGACATTGAATTAAGAGTTTTATGTTTATTATCTCATTGAATCTTTAGAGAAAACTTGGTGGCAGATATTATTACATCCCCCTTACAGATAAGGAAAGAAAGATTTAGATAAGTTAATTAGCTTATCTAAACAATGTAAGACTGAGTAGATTTTCCAATCCAGGTCAGCCTGACTCCACAGCTCATCAGAATCACTGCATTAAATTGCCTTAGACATTCTCCATCTGTTGTCTAAATTAACAAGTATCTTGACTGCTTTCTTCAGTTTTAATCTTCTGGTACCAACACAAGAGTAGGTTTATTCATATTTTGCAATCAATACTCTTTAGCCATTCTGGAAAATATCACACATGAATAATTACAAGAAATACAGAATAGCCTTTTTAAATAATTCATGGTTTGACTCAATTGATAGGAGTTTCAAGCATGTCATGTTAATATCACATACCTTTTTTGCCTTGCTGGTCACTACAGTTTTCATAGGTACAAGGTCCCCAAGCTGACCAAGGTGAAACCTCACATTCTATTGGACAGGGAATGTGGCACAGCTGTGTGGTGTTAGGAACGGAGCCGGTGCATAATTTCAAATCCACTGGTTTTGATGCTGTTTGGAGAAAAACACAGAGATTCCTTAGTAATTAAATGAATTGTTTTGGTCAAGAGCCTGATTGCTCTGCGTGAATGGAGAAAGAACATGCTTAAATAAGTGCCACCAAGACATCCTTCCAATGCTTCTTGGCTACATCCTAAGACTAAACGGAGAAGGAGCAGAGAAAAACCAGCAGGATGGTGTTGTCGAAGGGAACTGGACTAGAAGTCTTGCAAACTGTTTGATCACCAGTGTTACCACTAATTATTCATGCAATTAATAATGCGGCGTCTAACTTTCCTAGGCAGTAAAATAATCCTTAAGGTCAATTTTATCTCTCAAATTCTGCCGTTAGATTCTAAGAAAGCAGTATGTACTTTAGAGGACTGAATGCAATAGGAGGGAGACTACAGCTTTAATGTATATGGCAATATGTATGCTGTGGCTTCCGGTGGAGAAGCTTCCTGTTCCTTTTGGTCCCAGAGAGGTAATCGGTGGATGTAATGAAGGAAGAGCTCATGCCACCAAGTAGGGCATCTCTCTCGACCTCCGGTTGCATTATTCGGCAGATACTTTCCAGAACTTCTACTGAAAACATCATCTGCATTCAAATCTCAGAATTGCTCAGGAGACTAATTTATAGTTGTTCATGCCTGTTCATAAGTTGACCAATAAAATGCAGATAAGTAAGGCTTGCCCTTGCTTTTCTTCTGTGTTGATGTGTGTAGTCTGGCTGTTATGTACAGTACATGCATTTGACAGTTCATGTAAACGACTAAGTGAGAAAGACATTTGAAGCTATGTGTACAGCAGAAAAGAATCTAGTTTAGCTGTATATTGTGTGCTATATAGCTCTAGTTACTTTTGTTGCCAAAATTTAATAAGTAAATGTCTTGAACACACATTTTCTTTAATAAAAGCTAGTTCCTGTTTCCTTCTGGTAATCTGGAATGCCCAAAGGACTGAAATCAAAGAAGTCTTAGATAATTCTCATTCGCTTTATGTAAAGAACTATCCAATTCCCCTTGCATGGGATTGCATCTAGAAGCTCACAGAGAAATTGAAATAGTTTAAGCTATAGTGTCCTAATTTTTAAATCAAAGTACTAAGTACATCTGTTTGTAGTTTCAACTCTGAGGCAAACTGTGGGTGCTTCTGCATCTCAGATTCCTGCACACACAGACACACACGCGCAGTAATGCTACCCAAAAGTGCTCATATTAACTCCTGTTTCTTCGATCATTTTCCAGTTCGGAAAAGTATTCTATAGATATTATCTTTTCTTTTTTTCTCCTAGGAGTGCCTAACTTATCTTCTTCCCATCCTACTCACACCCCCCGCCCCCCCACACACACAGGGCTGTGAAAATCGATGACTTGGCACCCCCAATTTGCTTATATGGAGAACCATGAGCATTCTTAAGTTTCTCAGAATTGTTGCTAATGTACAACATAACATCAGCCAAAGCCAAAAATAATTAATTTTATTGCTTTCCAACAGTGAGAGTACTTGGCACGCTAATGACAGAAAATACGAAAATAAATGCCTCATTTCTCTGAATACAAAACATAGTTTGACATCACTAATACACATTTTACATACAGTGAATGGTTTTAAATATCCTCACAGACATGAGAGTCTTGTGATGGCTAATTTTATGTGTTAACTTGATTGGGATGTCAAGATAGCTGGTAAAACAGTGTTTCTAGGTGTGTCTATGAGGGTACTTATGGAAGGGATTAGCATTTGAATCTGTAGACTAAGTAAAAAAAAAAAAAAAAAAAATCACCCTCCCAATGTGGGCCAGAATGGTCCTATCCATTGAGACCAACAGAAGGAAAAGGTGGATGAAGAGTGAATTCTGTCTGTCTCTCCTGGAGCTGGCGTATCCACCGTCTCCTGCCCTTTGACATCAGAGTTCCCAGGACCAGGAAACTGGACATTTCAACAGAGGGCCCACTCGCATAATCATGAGAGCCAACTCCTCTACCAAATCTCTTCCTGTTTATCCACATACCCTACTGCTTCTGGAGAACCTTGACTACTAAGTCTATAGTGTGTGGAAAACCCCTATAACTGCAATTAACCTAAGTAATTCTTTCACTTGTGGAATCTTTTAGATGGTCACAGCAATTTCCAACCCTTTTCATCTCATGGCACACACAAACGAATTACTGAAATTCTGCAGCACACCAAAAAATATATATTTTTGCCGATCCGACAAAAAAATAGGTATAATTTTGAATAATTTGCACTGGGCAGCTATTGTTATGTTGGCTATTGTCATTTATTTTTATTTTTATTTTTTAGATAGAATGGGAGGGAGAGAGAGGAAGAGAAAGAGAGAGAGAAACATTGATGTGAAAGGGACACATCGAGTGGTTGCCACCCACACGACCCAAACAGGGCCAGGAACAAACTGCAACCGAGGTACATGCCCTTAGTGGTAACCCAACCCGGGTCTCTCTGGACCGCAGGCTGACGCTCTAACCACTGAACAAACCAGCCAGGCACTATTGTCATTTTTTAAATTTGACAATCTAAGGGAAAAGAGGTCAGTGGCCCTGACTGAATAGTCAGGTATTGCATGTTGTAAAAATTCTTGTGGCATACCAGTTGAAAATCGCTGGACTGCCCTGGCCAGTTTGGCTCAGTGGTTAGAGCGTCGGCCTGCGGTCCTGAGAGACCCGGGTTCGGTTCCCGCTAAGGGCGCATACCTCGGTTGCAGTTTGTCCCCGGCACTGGTTGGTCATGCGGGTGGCAGTCACTCGATGTGTTTCTTTCACGTCGATGTTTCTCTCTCTCTCTCTGTTCCTCTCTCTCCCACTCTACCTGAACAAAAAATGGAAAAATGTCCTCCTCGGGTGAGGATAAAAAAAAAAAAAAAGAAAGAAAATCGCTGGACTATCATTTAAATTAGAATTGTGTGTATAATGAAATGTCTCTAATTATTCAATTTATTAAAGGTAATTTTGAACATTATATTGTTTGAAAATCATGATTACTATAATGGGGAGTCTGTGTACATGTAATTGTGAGGACTGTTACGGCCTGAACCAATTTATTTCATAGAGAAGAAAACTTCATGAGCGAAACAAGGTTTTATCAAGGAAACGGGTTAAAATATTGTGTTTCTAATTCTTGGCCATTTTCACTATGAGCACAATGTTAGCTTTCAGTGTATTTTGGATGAATCAAATAGAATAATCAGTCACAGAAATCCTGAGCTATTAAGAGAGAAATGTGTTGAATAAAGGCTTGAGGAAGTATTGCTTAAAGCGAAATACTCTTGAGATCTGCTCAGTTGCTAAACTAACCAAGTCAACACTGAGATAATATAGTTCTTGAAAAATAACCTCGATTTTGTAGATGTCTTTACAGAGTATATATAAAGTCATTTCATTAATCAAATAAATACAGGGAGAGAGTACACGTTTGTTTGTGTACAGTTCTATTCCTTTGATGGTTTTCATTACAGGTTTTTCATGTAAATAGGATATATAGTGATTAATGTAAATCACAGATACTAGTTGAACTCCTCAGAAACTGCAAGGCAGTTACGTTTTTGCAAGTGCCTATGGGCTATTTGGAGTAAGTGTGATTCAGGGAATGAGGTAAAGGACAGACTCTGTAGACCTTACTGTGTTCCACTTTAAATTGTAGCTCTGGCCGGTTTGGCTCAGCGGTTAGAGCGTCGGCCTGCGGTCCAGAGAGACCCAGGTTTGGTTCCCACTAAGGGCAGGTACCTCGGTTGCAGTTTGTCCCCGGCCCTGGTTGGTCATGCGGGTGGCAACCAGTCGATGTGTCCCTTTCACATCGATGTTTCTCTCTTTCTCTCTCTTCCTCTCTCTCCGTCCCACTCTATCTGAACAAAAAAATGAAAAATGTCCTCGGGTGAGGATAAAAAAAATAATAATAAATAAATTGTGGTATGTAATTCCTGTAGTTCTGTATTACATAATGTAGTGTTTACTGCTGATCACATATTCTCAAAAACTGAGATTTGAATTTTCTAGAATGGCCTACGTATTATTCTTGTATAATTGTACTACCTAAGAAATTGTTCGTGCAGTACAAACTCCAAAGAAATCTGTTAGATATTTTTAAAGTCTGATGGTTGATCTCTTAAAAACAGAGAATAAATTTTCTTGTTCTCATATGACTTCAAGGGTATTCGATTATATTTACTTTGCATGCTTCACAGGGTTGCAAAAGAATGTATAAACTTTTCTGGAATTGAAAAAAACAAATAAAAAATGAGACTGGTGCATTTTTGTGGCTCGAAATATTTTTGTGATTTTATGTTTGCAGCATTACAAATGGGAAAAAAACATTATTATAGGAAGCAAATTTAAGAGTTGTGTTTACAGCAATGTGGCCAATGAGGCATTCTGAAAATATATCTATGTATAACCCCTAAGAACAACTAATGTATTATTTTAAAAATTGAACATTTTGTTTGGATGCAATTGTACACTCATATGAAATTGTAACTTCACAGAGATTCTATGTACCCTTGATGCAGTTTCTCCCAGTGCTGAGATCTTTGAAAAACTACAGTACAGTATCATAACTGCACATCGACATCGGTACAGTCCAGCTTGTCTGCCTTCTTTGCTCCAGAGATCAGAGTTATCTAATTCATTATATACTATATAATGGCCAGGAGTTTTTCTTTTCAAGCAGGAGAATTAGAAAAAGCTACATCTCCACTATCTTTCTGAAAGAAGTCTACATGTTATTTTTTTAAATTAATTAATTAATTTTTGTTACAGATGTCCCTCCTTTTCCCCGCATTGACACCCTCCTCCCTGATCCCCTCCCATTCCCACCTTCACCACACTGTTGTCTGTGTCCATTGGTTATGCATATAAGTTCTTTGGTTTATCTCTTCTTACCCACATCCTCAACCTAAGGTTTGTCAGTCTGTTCCCTACATCCATGTCTCTGGGTCTATTTTGTTCACAAGCTTATTTTGGTCATTATATTCCACACATAAGTTAGATCATATGATA